GAGGTGACTGTGGGAGCAGAAATCATAAATAGCTTAGGGCAGTGAATGGAGCAGTAAGAGCAGGGCTGTGGGTGGGTAGCTCTGGCCAGGATTACCTTGGCCCCTCTTCTGGGGGTAGGGGATGGGGATCTCAGCTTTGCTGTCCCCCACTGAAGTGCTAGCCTAGCTTCCCAGGCTGTTCTCAAAGGAAAGCAGGCTTCCTGCCTCCTTCCTCCAAGATAGCAAGTCTGGGACAACCTGGGGGAGTGGAATCATCCCAATTCCCAGTCCCTGGCAGACAAATACTAAAGCATCACTTAATAAAGACCCCTGAAGCCCACCACCACCAAAAAATGTTTATAGGGGTAAGTGACAAAGCAGTGAGTCCAGGCTTGATATCTACCCCACCCATAGCCAATGGCATTTTATAGTTAAGAATGCTAGTTAGCACGATTCTCTTGAGAAGAGTGGTGGTGTGTTCGGTGCATTTGGTTAAGTCTTGCCAGTAGCAACTGCCTTGAAAACAAGTGATGCTAATATGTTATTAGGAGTGAAGATTGATAATTCAAAACACAACTGGTAGGCCAAGCACCAAATGCTCAAATCTCCAGGGGATTTGTAGCTAGGTTAGTTATTACTGGTTGCATGCTCCAACCCTAAATTATCACAATTATTCCTTATCCCTTACTGTGTACTAACTGTATGACCCATGTCCTGAACACCACAGTGGATACCAACCATGCTAATAGGGTACTACAGGATGTACAGGATGGGTAGAAACAACATGTGAATGTAGAGTGGTGTCCATAGTTCAGGAGTTGAAAACCATTCAGAGCAGAATGACCCCTCTACCTATGCATATTGACTTCTCTAGTCAGAAAGCCCAGGCCTGTCTTACGAGATAAAATGAACAAGTACCCATAGCCGCGTGGGGCTTGTTGAGTAATGGACAGGGTGATCTGCTTGAAATGCCTATAACAGGAGCTAGTCTCTAAAAGTCCTGAAGGAAGGAGGCCAAGACCTTGACAATGAAAGGAGAGAAACTCCAAGGCAACCACTTACTTGAAAGAAAATATGCCCTCTAGGCTCAAAAACCTATTAATGATCTTCATCCCTGAGCTACCATGCTGAGACATATTTGTAAGACCTCTATGACAGATTTCGGATTCTCAAGGACAAGGATGTGAGCCAGTGGTTGGCAGTGATTATAGTTACCCTAGATTATCTGTGCTCTTTGTACCTTAGCATCTATGACCTCTCTTTGGGTTGTCTTTGCAGAAAAGAGGGTACCTCTACCAGAAAAGAGGTATAGCTATATAATGATCTGTTCTTCTTCCCTAATCATAACAGCAGCTAACCTTTAATGAACTACTCATTATGTACTGGGCACTATGCTAAGCATTATGATATGGATTGTTCCCTTTGATCCTCACAACAAGCCTGTGAGGTAGGTAGGGTACTCTTATTTCTGTCTTCACTGGGAGAAATTGCCTGGTCAGCTAGCTTGATAAGGCACTGGAAAGTACAGTAACAGCCTGCAGTAACAAAATTAAGATTCATTCAAAAATAAATAAGAGTGTGCTGGCTGTGTTTGGAGGATATTCTTTAAATAACTTCCTGTGATTGATGGACACTATAGAAAAATTTGATCTGACATCCAGGAATACATACATTGTACAAAGTGAAGTGTGTCAATATACTGAAATTCAACTTTGTCAAAGGTTGTTTCAAACTAAATTCACCCTGCCCACATTCATAGGTGGCACTCCCACCTCCTTTTAGTTATATTTCCCCTTCCCTCTGGATTGAGAAAGTATGCTTGCCTCATAAATACACATGCCATAAAGAAATGTGGATGTTCCAATTTTCTTTGAGAACCTTGGTTTGTTGAATTACAGTCTCTCCTGCCTGATAAAACTTCTTTAGTAGATATTTGCTGTATACCCGGGTGAGAATGATTGTCAGCATTGTCAGTGATATTTATTGGGCAAATTGGAGGAATGTAGATGGGTAAAGAGTGGCCAGAGAAGACCCAGGAAAGATGTAGATCATGTGCCACATATCGACATTTGGGTCAATGATTGACTGCATATTCGACAGTGGTCCCATAAAATTATAATGGATTATAAGCAAAAAGTTTGTTTGCAATGCTGAAAGGAAAAGCTGGACCCTACTAAGATGTTGAATGTACCAGTAGTTCTGGGTGGTTTAAATAGACAAGGAGGCTCAGCATGCTTTCCACCCACCATGTTCCTGCCCCAGGCTGGAACCTAGAGTTGGCTAGGGGAGGAAGGGAGCCTGGCAGCCCACCCTCCACCCACTAATCCAAGCCTCTGTTTCCCTCCCTCCCTCTCTCTCTTTATTTCTTGGCTCAAGCTTTATCTTTCTGGGTCTCTTTTGATATCTGCTCTCCCTTTCTCTCATCTTCTCTTTCTTCCCTCTCTCCCTTTCTCCCTCCCTTCTCCTGATGTCTCTTTTCCCTCAGATAGTGCCTTCCTCCATAGCCTTCACCCAGGACCCCACAATGTGTGTGTGTATGCATGTGCACACACACTTTGTCTTTTTTTTTTTTTTTATCCTCATCTGAAGACATTTTTGCATTTATCCTCAGAGCAGGAGGGAGAGACAGAGGAAGAGAGAGAGAGAAAAACATCGATGTGAGAGAGACACATTGACTGGCTGCCACCCACACAACCCCAAATGGGGCCAGGGATGAACCACAACTGAGGTATATGTGCCCTTAGTGGGACTGAACCTGAGACTCTCTGGTCCATGGGCTGACGCTCTAACTGCTGAGCCAAACCATCCAGGGCTACTTTGTCTTTTATATAATACTTTTACTGTACCTTTTCTATGTTTAGCTGTATTTAGATACATACATACTTACCACTATATTACAATTGCTTAAAGTATTCACTACGATAACAGCAATACAGATTTGTAGCCTAGGAGCAATAGCTACATCACAGGTATATAGTGGGCTATACCACCTAGGTTTGTGTAAGTACACTCTGTGATGTTTATACAATAACAAAATTACCTAACCACACATTTCTCAGAAGGTATCTCCATCATTAAGTGATGCATGATGGTATTTGGACAGGGAAGATAGAGCCCTGGCTCAGGTACACAGAAGATCTGGATTTTAGGAGCAGCTCTGTCAGTGATCTGTAAAGTCTTGGGCAAGTCACTTAACCTCTCTGTACCCTAAGTTCCTCATCTGTTTAACAACTGGGTTGGACTAGAGGCTCTATAACATTCTTCCAGCTCTATGACTAAAAGGCTGAGTCTCAGTCAGAATCCTGTCATACCCACGAGGTACCAGGTGTGGTTCTTAGAGATGAGGCCATATTGCAGTGTATAATAGGATATGACACAGAATTAGTGTCAGACCCTCCAAATGGGGTTCTAAGACTGATCATTCTCTGCAAAGTTTTTATCTCTCAGAAACAATTATGGGCTGGTTGGTTTATACTGCCTGGTGAGACCACATAGGGTAGGAGTTAAGAGCATGAGTACTGGCATTGGACCTTAGTTTGAAAACCAGTTCTGCTGCTTCCTAGTGGGTACCCTGGGACAAATAATTTGACCTCTCTGAACATCAGTTTCTGCCTCTGTAAGATGATGATAATAGACAACCTCATAGGCTGGTGGAGATGAAAAGCAATAATGTATGAAAGCACTTAGCTCAGGACCTGGAAAAATGAAAATGCCCAGTCAACTATGTCTATGACCACTATTGGTGTACTCATTGCTATCAGTGTAACTCTCCAGATGTGGGCATGGCTAAACTTCAGCATTTTTCCTGGATATAGTCTTTTCCTTCTAGATGGAGTTCGAGAAAAGCATAAATAGATTATTCTGGCCTAAAGCAGCTGAAGAGTCAGATCTGGGTTTAGTTCCCTGCTCTGCTTCTTATGGGTTCTGGGACCTTGGGCAAATTATTTAACTTCTCTGCCCTCATCTGTACAATACAGGCAGGTATAGTGCCTATCCCCAAGGGTTGTGATGAATATGATATAATGAATGTGAAGAACTTAGTGTTGTGCCTGACATCTAGAAGCCACTCAATAAATGGTGGTTGTGATACTGACGGTGAAAGTAATCATCATTGTAAGAATAAATGATTACCTCCACTACAACTACCCTTGTTGGCGTGGGGAGTTGAATGTGTTCAAGTTTGTACAGATTTTGCATACCTAACCAACTGTTAGGAGAGGCAGCAGTTGCTATTCCTGAAGGGACAGCAAAGAAATTGTTGCCAGACTTCACTGACAGTGGCTGGGAATTTAACACTGAGTTGTTTTTGGAAGCGTGACGGAAAATGATTCAGCAAACCATAATTCTCAGCAGAAAAGTTCTATTTATTTCTGCCAGTCCCCTCAGACCCAAAAACTGTAGGGCGAAATGTAATTCTAAACTGGCCCTGTACTTCTAAGGCTCAATTTTAGTTGGTCAGCCAGAACATGTTCACAGACTTCCTCAGGAGCAACTGGGTGCAAAGATGTGTGGTCTGTATTTTTTTTCAAGGTTGTCTTCATTCTCAAATGGATGCTACCTAACTTTTCTTGAGCCTCTAAGTGGGTGTAAGATTCTTTTGATGGCTAGAATGCAGAAGTAAAGGAACAATAGGAGATCTCAGGAATGTGATGTTCCAGTAGGTGGAGTTGTAGGGGACAGTAGGGGTGTTAACAAATAGAAATCAAAAAACTGAAGTAGTCCTAATGTTTCTGGAGATGAGCCCATATGCTGAGGGAGGGATATTAGATGTTTCTTTTGATGTCCCTCCATTTTCCTCTTTAGTATTCTGTTAAAAGTTGAAAAAGAGAAAGAAAACAGCCAGTCACTGGAAGTGAAGCTAATCTCCAGGCTTCTTGTCCTTCCCAGACCACTCCAGGTTAGGAAGGTGTTGACCACTTTCTAAGGAAGTGTAGACTGCACCTCACCAGGCACCCCCCTCAGCCCTAGCCTTATACTTTCTCTCACTCTTGCTCTCCCCTCTCCCCTTCATTTAAGGAATACTAACCACAAGTTTCAAAGATGTCTTCATAGGCATCTTCCAGCATCATCTCCTCTTCATGCCAGGTAGCCATTCTCTTTTTTGCGCTGGGTTCTGAGGTTATAGAAAAGAAAAATGAATTTCAATTATGGACAGAGATTTAGGGGTAATTTCTGATATCAGGAAAAACACTTCCTGTATTCCTCTACCATATTTATTGCACTCAACTCTCATCTTCACCCCCCATCTCCAGATCAGTGCCTCTTTCCCCTTCAGTGCCCCTGGCCAAGTCCAGGCCCTTCCGTATAGGTGTTACAACTCAAGACTCTGGGGTAGCCTAAGGGCCAGATCCCTTGGAGAGCAGAGAGGACATTATAATATTGATAGTTGACCATCACAGTGACTGGGGTCCCAGTGAGCACTGAGGATGAGGGGCAATTAACAACAATGGGCCTTCAATTGTCACAGTTGTTTTTCTTTAATGCCTTTATTATATTGGGGAAAATCATATATGATTATTATAAAAAGAAAATTTCCAATAAAACAAAAATCCAAAGAAAGGCACCGAGGCCTTGTACTTCTCACCTAGTATATCACAACTGGAGAAAATCACTGCCAACATTTTAGTGATTTTTCTACAGATATTCTATGCATGTGTACCCATTATGCTGTAAATGCTATGCTCTGACTTACTATTTTCTCTAACAAAACATCGGGTTGTGTAAAACTTTCCATGTCAGTAGATATAAGTCAACAATAGCCCTTTTAATATCTGCATAGTATTCCATTGTATGGATGCAGCATAATTTAGTTATTTCACTTTGTTAGACATTTAGCCTGTTTCCAACTTTTAGCTATTGTACACAATGTTGTAACTGAACAATCACAAGCATCTTTTTGGGGGGTACATGTGTAATTATCTTTGGATATAGTTAAAAAAATGAGATGATTGATTCATAGGGTTTCCACATTTTTATTTTTTAAAATTTATCTTTATTGTTCAAAGTATTACAGATGTCCCTCCTTTTCTCCCCCATTGACACCCTCCTCTGGGTTTCCACATTTTTAAAGTTCGCTCTCTTTCTCTCTCTCTCTCTCTCTCTCTCTCTCTCTCTCTCTCCACACACACACACACACACACACACATATATGGAGAAAAAGAGAGGAAAAAACTCCCCATAAAGATTGCTTCAATTTGTACTTCCACCACTAAAAAAGATAACTATTAAGATAACTCTATATCCATTCAAACAAAGATTTTGTGTCAGCCAGTGCTGAGCAATCATACAGGAGTACCAGGTGATGGTCCTCAAGGACTCTCTCAGTCCTTCATACACTTCTCCTGACCATCAACCATAGTATGAGAAAACAGTTTCAGACTCAAAATAGGAATGCTGTTTTATAAATTGTGAGAAAAGGTCTATATATTTTTTATTCTCTGACTAACCACTGATTCAGTGTTACCTTCAAAAAGATTATCATCATCAATGTAGTACTCATCATCATCATCATCATCATCATCAGTATAAGTTGCTGGGGGCTGAAAGTCAGCACTGTGGTTGTAATGAGGCTCAGTAATGATCTGAGCTTCACTGTTCCCAGAACATTCATCTTCCTCCATGGATTCATCTAAAGCAAATGTCACTGATACATTCTTTTTAGGTCTTAATCTTAAGCCTTCTTTCTGTACAGAAAGAAGATAAAGAGGACAAAAGTCAGTTGGGTGCCCAATAGTTTAGAGATTGGTCCCTGTGGCAATAACATTTAAAGAGCCAATTTACCTGTAGGATTGGCTTTAGGGGCCTAGCTTCCATTGAATGTTGTCCTAGGGGCTGTTCTTTTTCTTCTGACATTTCTATGTTGATAGGGAAGCTAGGGAAGATGAAAAAGACAAAGCAATAGTGAAAATAGGCACACTTTAAGCTCTTTAAACAATGCATTTAAACAATGAAAGGGACAATAGAGCAAGAGAATATTTAGGCCTTTTACTCCTCAAAACCTGGATCACCTCCTGGTTTTTTTTTTCTTTTTCATATTCCTCTTCTCTCTTTCCTTATTATCGGATCAGAGAACTATAAGTGAAGAATGTAGGGTGGCTTCAGGACATCCATGTAGAGAATATTGCCTATAAGCTCCTTAAGGGGCTTGTGTTTCTTTTCTCCTCTACACACCAAACCAGGGAATAGAAACCCTGTTTTGGAGAAGCTCTAATGTTGATGGGTTGGTTTTGCCTTTCTGCATCTCATCTCACTAATGTGACCACTCAAGTTGTGCCAGGGGGAGGGTGTACCTAACAATGCTGGAAAGTTTGTGGTCACTGACCTAGCCTCATTTGAGCCAACTGATCTTGAGAGACTTGCTCAGAACCACACAGAATCCAAACATCTCCCAGAACTCCCTGCTTATGTTGAAGATTGACTTCTGCATATGTTCTTATCAACCTAATAGAGGCAGCTCATTACCTGTCTGGTGCACATCTTTCCTCAAAGCCTGTAGTATTCTTGGAGGTTGGGATGCTCCAGGTGAGTGACTGCTGGAGAGCACACAGCTCTTCCTGTTTATTCTGAATGGCAGCTAACAGCCAGCGCAGCCCTTCAATTACGGGCTGATGGTCCCTTCTTTGGAGGTTTTGAATAGCTGAACAGGGTTCCTGTGACAAAAGAGAAGACTCCAGCTTAGGAACCTGGGACCACTGGGGACCACAGACCCTATCCCTCTCAGCCAAGGAGCAGAGGTACACATAAGCTCTGCTGTGTCTAGAGAAGCTCTAAGACTTACTAGGAGAAACAGTATTCACACCTGAAAAGATAAAAGAAAGCTACAAAAGCTAAGATAATTTAATAATGTGGTTGTGGGTAATGTCTTGGATGTGTGACGTTGGGCAAGAAACTCAGTTTTTGAGCCTCATCCATAAAATGAGGATACGAAACTTCCAACTTTACAAAGCAATTTTGAAGGTCTAATAAGAAAACAGATGTGAGTGTTATAAGAGTGATATTATCACCATTGAGTCAGAAATTATCACTGTAGCCCTGACCGGTTTGGTTCAGCGGTTAGAGCGTCGGCCTGCGGTCCTGAGAGACCCGGGTTCGGTTCCCGCTAAGGGCGCGTACCTCGGTTGCAGTTTGTCCCCGGCCCTGGTCGATTGTGCAGGTGGCAGCCACTCGATGTGTTCCTTTCACATCGATTTTTCTCTCTCTCTCTCTGCTCCTCTCTCTCCCTCCCACTCTACCTGAACAAAAAATGGAAAAATATCCTCGGGTGAGGATAAAAAAATAAAAATAAAAAAAAAGAAATTATCACTGTAGATGTTGCCTAGCAGGTAAAGGCTTTGCCTGGGATCCAGTATATGGGGCTGATTATGGAATGGCACAAGGTATGCATCAGCTGGGCTTGAGAGGGCAAGGGAGAGGAGGAGTTGACACTTACCAATCGGCACATGGACTTGTTGTTCACTATTCTTTCCAGGAATAGATATTTAATAATATCACAAGGTAAGAGAGCGTTCTTCTTGTCTTGTTTGTTTGCCAGTCTAGAGCAGGGCACAGGAGAGAGGGTGGGAAGAAGAGAGGAAGAGTGAAATAGAAATAGAGGCCAAGGGCAAGAAAAGAAGGGAAATAGGGGGAGAACCAATTGTGGTACAACTGCTACATATCCAAGAACTAGCTTTAAAGACATACATAATGAAATGAGCCAGACATTTTTCTAGCTAATTCTCAATGAAGGAAATAATAGCACAAATTATTTGAATTCAAGATCATCCCCGGACCTCATTTCTTGCTTCCTCTCTACACTATACTATCACATTTTAATTAGAATTGCTAATTGGAATATGGACAGATTTGGAGTTTTTAAACATCCTCTCTCAGACTCTGTTCATGCTTGAGTTGGAGGTGCTAATGAGGAACAAAAAATGCAAAAAGGGAGTAGGGGTTGAGGATTGATGGGCCATCTGAAGTATCACCCTGGAATCAGTGCTAGTTACATGACTCTTGGGCAGTCTGGGAAAGGAGGAGGCCATTGGCATCAATTATACAAAATAGGGGTGGTTTTCTGCCACCATTTCAGGGTCAGAGACTGAAGCCAGAAAAGATAAACAAATTCAGGAAGACAGTCTTCAGGAAGAGTCAAGGGATGGGAGTGGGAGATTCAGATATTAATCGCTATTTCTCTTTGATGCTTGCCTTCAAAATTACCTTTGCACAATTAGGTAACATGTTCACCCATGGCAGTGTATGGTAGAAAGTATCTCTTGAAAACAGATCCCAGAGGACTGGGCCACACCCCCCTCACTGAGCTGAAGGGAAGAGGAGGTCTAGCTGGATGTGACAAAGGGACCACCCAGCTCTTCCTTTGTCTACTTGTCTCCTAAAGGCACAAAATGAGAAGGGAAAATTGATCTCAAAGACAGAGGCTTACAGTAGGATGGGTTTTCCTGCCACTCTTGCATCAGACAGCAGATGTGTTAAGGTGATCTTCACTTCCTGCATGCGTCCTAAGTCGCTGGAATCCAGGACAAAAACAAGCCCATGTGCCTGTGCGTAGTAGTTGGGCCAGATTTCTCGGCCCTTCATATCTCCATTCAGGTCATAGATGGAAACTTCATATTCATCTAGCAGGACTGTAGTTAGTTTATATTTCATACAACTCTCTATCTTGCTAGGAAGTACTATATATAAGGGAAGAGAGGAGAAGCAATCACAAAGCAAAGGGATATAGTTAGATGAAAGAATTTATTAAATAAACTTTGGCTAGAGCCTGCCCTGAGGAATCCCACTGATGCATCCTGCCCTCCTGCTCATTCATGGATTCATCTTCCTAAACCAGCACTTTGCCCAGGCTACACTCTCCTGGCTCAGTAACCTTCAGTGAGTGGCCACTCAGGAGAGAATATAGACTCCTTTGCTTTCTAATCTGCCAGACCTATCTCTACCCTGTCTGGTGTCCACAGTGTCCCTGGTACACACCCAGTCTCTTCCTCTCTCTGCTCCTTGGCTTACATTCCCCCCACTCCACAAGAATGCCATAATTTTTTGTGTCCTGAGCCTTCACAAGATGCTATTCCCGCAACTTAGAATATTTCTTCCACTGCTCTTTCCTTGGTTAATGCCTATTTTTTAAAAAATATATCTATTTAGGTCTTGTTTTCTCTAGAAAGTTTTCCCTAACTCACACCACCATCCCCTAGTCTGGATAAGGTGCCTTTCTTCTGGGCTTACCACTATCACAGCACATACGACATTGTTATAAATTCAACTATATACTTATCTGGGTTATGAACTTCAACAGGACAGGAACCCTTTCAATTTTATTCACCATTATATTCACAATGCCAAACACAGAAGCTGGCACACAGGTGCTCAATAAATATTTATAATAACTTATGATAAACGAATGGATGAATTGGAGGTTCTTCTTTCTCACCCTTTCTTCAAGGCACAGGAAGGCTTCTTTAGGAAAGCCTCTCTGACCTCCCTCATTGAACACATGGTTCGTTAAACTGTTCCTTTATTTCATTCTGTGTGTGCCATGTCTCCTCAACTAAAATAGTGAGGAAGGGCCCTGGCCGGTTTGGCTCAGCGGTTGGAGCATCGGCCTGTGGTACAGAGAGACCCGGGTTCCGTTCCCTCTAAGGGCATGTACCTCTGTTGCAGTTTGTCCCCGGCCCTGGTTGGTTGTGCGGGTGGCAGCCACTCGATGTGTCCCTTCACATCGATGTTTCTCTCTCTCTCTCTTCCTCTCTCTCCCTCCCGCTCTATCTGAACAAAAAATGGAAAAATGTCCTCGGGTGAGGATAAAAAAAATAAAATAAAATAAAATAAAATAAAATAGTGAGGAAGGGGCTCTGCATTAGCGTACACACAGTAGGTATTCAATAAATTTTTATGGTGCCTATTACCATGGATGAGTATGAAGTCCTCTTCATATCGCCTTCAAGAAACCACACCAAATTAGATACATTTTCCCTTTCAAGGCCATGGCTAGAGCATACAGTTCCATAGGACATTCCATACCTCATTCTGCTCCCATAGAAATACAGTTCAAAAGGACAGTCTTTATACACATTCCAGTATGTTAAACTGACAGTTCTGACCTAGCTCTCTGCTCATATATGTAGAAAAATGATTTTATAGATTCTCTATACTCATACCTGGAAATTCTAAGGACACAATCAGTAGCTTTTTATTTCTAGTCTCAGATCTACCTGTGATTTTTTCCATAGGATTGGCAAAATGAGTCATTTGGCTGAGAAGTTAGTAAGATGCTTTCAGATCTTTGGAAATGTATGATTATATACACATTTACGTGTGTGTATATATGCATATATTATCATTACATTTTAATGTGATCTTTTTTATTAATCTTTATTGTTGAGTGTATTACAGATGTTCCTCATTTTCCCCCCTGACCGCCTCCTCCCCACTCCCTCACCCCTCTTGCCTTTTCGCACACTGTTGTCTGTGTCCATTGGTTATGCATATATGCATATAAGTTCTTCGGTTTATTTCTTCCCACCCCCAACCCCCCTTCCCTTTGAGGTTTGTCAGTCTAGCAACCCATTTGTACTTCTTAATCCCTTCACCTTTTTCACCCATCCCCCTATCCCCCCTCCCATCTGGCAACCAACAAAACGTTCTCAGTATCTATGAGAATTTTTCTGTTCTGCTTGTTCATTTTGTTTGTAGATTCAATTGTTGATAGATATGTATTCATTGCCATTTTGTTTGTTCATATATTTTATCTTTTTCTTCAAAAAGACCCTTCAACATTTCATATAATAATGGTTTGGTGGTGATGAACTCCTTTAACTTTTTCTTATCTGGGAAACTCTGTATATGGCCATCAATTCTAAATGACAGCTTTGCAGGATAGAGTAACCTCGGTTGTAGGTTCTTGCTTTTCATCACTCTGAATATTTCTTGTCACTCCCTTCTGGCCTGCAAAGTATCTTTTGAGAAATCAACTGACATTCTTATGGGAACACCCTTGTAGGCAACTGCTTTTCTCTTGCTGCTTTTAAGATTCTCTCTTTGGACAAAGAAGGCCACTACATAATATTGAAATGATCTATCCAACAGGAAGATATAACCTTGATAAACATATATGCACCCAATATAGGAGCACCAAAATATATTAAAAATCTTCTGGAGGACTTCCAAGGAGAAATCGACAACAATACAATCATAGCAGGGAACTTCAACACCCCGTTGACAGCACTGGATAGATCCTCTAGACAAAAAATTAGCAAGGAAACAGAGACTCTAAATGAAGCACTAGACCAAATGGATTTAATAGATATCTACAGAGAATTACACCCCAAAACTACAGAATTCACATTCTTCTCAAGTGCACATGGGACATTCTCAAAGATAGACCACATGTTAGGGCACAAACTAAGTCTTTACAAGTTCAAGAAGACTAAAATCATATCAAGCATCTTCTCAGATCACAATGGCATGAAACTAGAAATCAATTGCAACAAGAACATGCAAAGACATTGGAACACATGGAGGCTAAACAGCATGTTATTAAACAATGAATGGGTCACCGAGGAGATCAAGGAAGAAATTAAAAACTTTCTGGAAACCAATGAAAATGAACACACAACAACACGAAATCTATGGGATGCAGCGAAAGCAGTTCTGAGAGGGAAGCTCATAGCACTACAGGCCTACCTCAAAAAAAAAGAAAAATTTCTAATTGACTGTCTAACCTCACAACTTAAAGAATTAGAAAGCAAACAAAAAGAAAACCCCAGAGCAAGTAGAAGGAAGGAAATAGTAAAGATCAGAGCAGAAATAAATGACATAGAGACCGAAAAAAACAATTCAAAGGATCAATGAAACAAAGAGCTGATTTTTCAAAAAGATAAACAAGATTGATGGACCCTTAGCTAGACTCACCAAGAAACAAAGAGAGAGAACCCAAATACACAAAATCAAAAATCAAAGAGGAGAAGTAACAACCAACACCACGGAAATACAAAAGATTGTTAACAACTACTATGAACAACTATATGGCAACAAATTCGACAATCTATGCGAAATGGACAAATTTCTAGAAACACACAGTCTCCAAAAACTGAACCGGGAAGAGATAGAAAACTTGAACAGACCAATAACAACTAAGGAAATTGAAGAGGTAATTAAGACTCTCCCAGCAAACAAAAGCCCAGGCCCAGATGGCTTCACGGGGGAGTTTTACCGAACATTCAAAGAAGAACTAACACCCATTCTCCTCAAACTATTTCAAAAAATTCAAGAAGAAGGAAGACTTCCAAACACGTTCTATGAGGCCAGCATAATTCTAATTCTAAAACCAGAAAAAGACACTACGAAGAAAGAAAACTACAGGCCAATATCCCTGATGAACATAGACGCCAAAATCCTAAACAAAATATTAGCAAATCGGATCCAGAAATACATCAAAAATATTATTCACCATGACCAAGTGGGATTCATTCCAGGGATGCAAGGCTGATACAATATTCACAAATCAATAAATGTGATACACCACATAAATAAGATGAAGAATAAAAACCACATGATCATATCAATAGATGCTAAAAAAGCATTCGACAAAATCCAGCATCCATTTCTGATAAAAACGCTCAGCAATCTGGGAATAGAGGGATCATATCTCGACATAATAAAGGCCATATATGAAAGACCTACAGCCAACATCATACTCAATGGACAGAAACTAAAAACATTTCCATTAAGAACAGGAACAAGACAGGGATGTCCACTTTCGCCACTCTTATTTAACATTGTACTGGAAGTCTTAGCCACAGCAATCAGACAGGAAGAAAAAATAAAAGGGATCCAAACTGGAAAGGAGGAAGTGAAACTGTCATTATTTGCAGATGCCATGATATTATACATAGAAAACCCTAAAGACTCCATCAAAAATCTACTAGACTTAATAAATGAATTTGGCAAAGTAACAGGATACCAAATTAACGTCAAGAAATCAGCGGCATTCTTGTACACCAATGATGAACTCACAGAAAGAGAAACTGAAAAAACAATCCCATTTACCATCACAGCAAAAAATTTAATATACCGAGGAATAAAATTAGCCAAAGAAGTAAAGGGCCTATTTGCAGAAAACTACAGGTCATTGAAAAAAGAAATAGAGTAAGATATAAAAAAGTGGAAGCACATACCCTGTTCATGGATTGGAAGAATTAAAATGTCCATACTACCCAAAGCAATCTATAGATTCAATGCAATCCCCATCAAAATACCAACGACATATTTCATAGAACTAGAACAAATACTTCAAAAGTTCATATGGAACCAAAAAAGACCCCGAATAGCCACAGCAATCCTGAAAAAGAAGGACAAAGTAGGTGGGATCACAATACCAGATATCAGGTTATACTACAAAGCGACTGTAACCAAAACAGCCTGGTACTGGCACAAGAACAGGCATATAGGCCAGTGGAACTGAACTGAAAACCCAGAAATGGACCCAAGGCAATACGCTCAATTAATATTTGACAAAGGTGGCAAGAGCATACAGTGGAGTAAAGACAGCCTCTTTAATAAATGGTGTTGGGAAAATTGGACAGCTACATGTAAAAAAATGAAACTAGCCCATCAACTTACACCATACACAAAAATAAACTCAAAATGGATAAAAGACTTAAATGTGACCCGTGAATCCATAAAAATTCTAGAAGAAAATGTAGGCAACAAAATTTCGGACATCATACGGAGCAGAATTTTCATTGATACATCACCTAAGGCAACAGAAACAAAGGAATAAATGAACAGATGGGACTACATCAAACTAAAAAGCTTCTGCACAGCAAAAGAAACAATCATCAAAATGGAAAGGCAACCCAGTGTAAGGGAGAACATCATTGCCAATGATGTATCAGATAAGGGGTTAATTTCCAATATATAGAGAGAGCTCATATAACTCAACAAAAGGAAGACAAAGAACCCAATTAAAAAATGGGCAGAGGAGTTGAATAGACACCTCTCCAAACAGGACATACAAATGGCCAAGAGACATATGAAGAAATGCTCAACATCACTAATCATCAGAGAAATGCAAATTTAAACAACAATGAGGTATCACCTCACACCTGTCAGAATGGCCGCAATCAACAAATCATCAAACAACAAGTGTTGGTGAGGGTGTGGAGAAAAGGGTACACTGCTGGTGGGAATGCAGACTTGTGCAGCCGCTGTGGAAAACAATACGGTGTTACCTCAAAAAATTAAAAATTGAACTTCCATTTGACCCAGTGATCCCACTTCTAGGAATATACCCTAAGAAGCCTGAAATACCAATCAGGAAGAATATATGTACCCCTATGTTCATAGCAGCACTATTTATAATAGCTAAGATCTGGAAACAGCCCAAGTGTCCATCAGTAGATGAATGGATAAAAAAGCAGTGGTACATATACACAATGGAGTACTATGCAGTGGTAAGAAAGAAAGATCTCTTAAAAAATTATAGCTTTCAAATAACGTACAACTTTCAGTCACAACTTTGATGTGATATTTGCTATGTCAGTGGTTAGAGTACTGGCTTGTGGACCAGAAAGGCCCGGGTTTGGTTCCACTAAGGGCATGTGTGTTGGTTGGTTTGTCCCGGCCCCAGTTGGGCAACCAGTCGATGTGTCTCTCTTACATTGATGTTTCTCTCTCTCCCTCCCTCCCACTCTATCTGAAGATAAATGTAAAAATGTCCTCAGGTGAGGATAAAAAAAATAATAAGTGACTAGTTAAGAATCTAAAAGTAATTTAAATTTGTTTCCTATATCAAGGGAAGCTTTATATTATTTTTCCACATCCTATCAAAACATTTTCCCTAGTCATTTTTTTTTCTTTTTTCTTGAAACCTTACCTATTTCTTTAATAATGAAATCTGTTGTTGGTAAACCCTAGAAGCCAAGAGAAGTTGTTCTCTGATACTTTACATTTCTCTCTTTTTCTCTATTAATTCATAATCTTCCTGAGGACAGGTAATGAGTGTAATTCATCTCTATATCCCTGGTGGAATAATTCACAAAGCACAAGAGTCTGGGGATTGTCGGCTTTTTTTTTTTTTTTTTTAATCCTCACCCGATGACACTTCCTGATATTTTTTTCAGATAGAGTGGGAGGGAGAGAGAGAGAGAGAAACATCGACATGAAAGGGACACATCGAGTGGTTGCCACCCACACAACCCAACCAGGGCCGGGGAAAAACTGCAACCGAGGTACATGCCCCTAGGAGGAACCGAACCCGGGTCTCTCTGGTCCTCAGGCTGACGCTCTAAACGCTGAGCCAAACCGGCCAGGGCGATTGTCAGCTTTTGAATTACATCGGGGTGATAAATTCCTACCCTATACCAGCTGAATCAGAATCTCTATGCTGGGACCCAAATATTTGCATGTTTAACAAATTCTATATTTAACAAAATCTCCAGGTGATTCTTCTGCACTTTAAAGCTTGAAACCCACTACCCTAGAGAGCAGAGCAACTCATGCCTGTTGTATCTCAGCATCATCTGGTGCTGCTTGTTAAGATTTTGATTCCATGGGCCCTTCCCAGTCCAAAGTGTCTGAGCTTCCAGGTCCTGGATAAGTAAGTGTGAAAGCGCCCCAAGTGATTCTGATTTTTGGCTCTCAGTACTCACTATACTAAAGGATCACCTATGGAGCTTTTAAAAACTGTAACATTAGGCCTCCTTCTCTGAGGATTTGATGCCATACATCAAGGGTGGGACTCAAGCATCATGTTTTTTTTTTGTTTTTTTTGTTTTTTGAAGCTCCTCGGGTGACTGAAATGTATAGCCAGGTTTGAGAGGCACTGCTCTAAATGCCCTTATTTAGGGCACCTGCTTCTGCTCATCCTTAGGGTTTTCACCCCATGTGACCATGCCAGACAAAACCGTTATAGTGAATGGTGTCATTGAGAATAATGGCTTCTGTCCCAGATATTTTATAGCTGGCATCTTCAAATGTTCACACAAGTTACTACTTGTAGATTGGAATTTCCTTCCTAGGCTATAATCTGTTCTTGGCAATCAAAAACATTTGCAGGGGCAGGGGAGGTGAGCTATGGAATATAGGGTACAGAGCAGGCTACTAGATTGGCTCTGGTAGTCTTGTATGGACAAGCAGTGGACTGAGACATTCCTTAGAATGTGACATCAGTGGCACTTTGCTTCCTGGCCATTAGAAACTTCTCTGTGAATGAAGTCACAACTCCAGGCTCTATACTCTAGAAATTAGAATGGAAAGCAGATACTATTCTCACAGACAAAATAGCATACGGCTAATTGCAGATGAGTGCTTCCCCAAAACGGCTGCCCATCAGAAACACCTGGAGAGTTCTTACCCTATAGATTCCCAGGCCCTACCCAGACTGCCTGGGAATCTAGGATCGGGGCTGAGTGGGGGTTTTAAAAATTATCCTGGTGTTGTTTACCTTTTTATCATGTTTGCTTATCAGTATTGGAAGAGGCAAGGAGTCAAGTTTGCTGCCTCTAGGGTGGGATACTAGGCTGAACCATTGGCTAAAATATAATGCTTGGGGCTGCCTCTCTGACAGTGGGGTGGGGGGAGTTATAAAGAAGCAACAGGTAGCCTGAAGACAATGGTGGGATAGGGGAGACCATTCATTCCACAAATATTTACTAAATACCTACCTGATGATACTAAAAGTACAGGGACTAAAGATACAGAGCTGAAAAAATATCCATTAATTCTCCTCAAGGGTATAACAGTCTAGGGAATGGATTTGCAGTTGTGCAATGACGTTGTGATAAGTACATGATAGAAGGAGGCATGGAATAGTGTGAGAGCCAAGGAAGAAGGCACTAGGTATTAGGGATGGATTTCCTGAGGTCAAGCTTAAACTGTGTCTACAGGCGTTTGATTAAACAGGTAAATAATGGAAAGGATGAAATGCTAGGTAGTGAGGCAGCATTACAGAAGGCACAGGCATGTGAACTAGATCATATGATGGCAGATGAATGGCAAGTCATTTGTTTTGGCTCTATCAGGTCACATGCAGAGAGCATGAGAAATGAAGCTGGAAGAGAAGTCAGAGACCAAATCTCGGAGGAACCTGTGTGCCTCTAATAAACTTAAGGTTTATTTGAATACAATGGGGAGGCATTGAATGGTTTTGAGCAGAAACGTGCCATAATCAGATTTTTGCACTAAGTCCTTCAGGAAACTGTGTTGACTGAATGCTGGAGGGACAACTAGAAATGGAAAGATCAGTCAGTAGGCTGTTGCTGGAGTTCAAGGAAACTGATGCAGGTTTCCAGTAGGGCAGTGGCAGAAGAATTGGGTTAGCCCTTTCCTGTATTTTGCTGAGGGCTTCCAAGTTATATAAAACTCAATCATATCATCATACCCCCACTTTTATTTAATAAACATCAATGGAGGGCATCCTATGCCAACCTATGTGCCGGGCTCTTTGATTCATTGGCTAGCAGTAAGCTGTGTCTTCACGACTAGAATAAGTAGCTCCCTGAAATTGTGTAACTGCTTCTTGAAATGCCAAAGTATTAAACTGGAGATCTGATATTAAAATTGCATATCTCTGAACTGACAATGTTTCTGAAGTCCCAACCCTCTATATTAACTGTTACAAAGTGTTTCATGTTATTAAATTTCTTCATCATCCCACACTTATCTCTTGATCTAGATCAAATTCCACTTTAATTGAGCTCTGAAACTACTTTTTCAATCACGTTATCCTTCATAATTGACTGCAGTGCTTTCCAAAGTTCGAGTACATTCATACTGACACTATTCGAGGACCTTCAATTAGGATATCTTGTAAAAAAAAAAAAAAAAAAAAAAAGGTAGACGGTGACAGACATTATGTGAACAGGCTGATAATAATACCTCAGGAGAGGATTGTGTGTGTGTGTTGGGAAGTGCTCATTTTTAAAAGACGGAACCTGAGGGCCGTGAAGTAAGGCTAGGAAGGAATGATTATTTCCATTGGTCCTTGGGGCCCATGAGAGACTTAATCCAGTATCTAATGCTTTTAGTTCCTTACCTCTGTGGAAGGTCTCCATAAAAACAGTTTTGCCTGAATTCTCCAGACCAATGATGATGATGGTCACATTCCTGTTAATGGAAAAGAAAAATGAGCCAAAGCCTTGAAAGCAGTTAGTTCTTAGGCTAAACAAATAATTCTACTCTTCCTTGGTGTTTGGGGCTCTGCCTACAGTAGTCCCAACATATGTACTATAAAAGGCACAGCCAAGGTGGTAGGAGGTGATGTAGGACACCATCCCCAAGGTCTCCAAGGATGCTTTTCTTTCTTGAGTCACTTGCTTTGTAGAGTTGGCCATTCTCCTCAAACCCTGTCCTCAATCTTGCAGACACTGACTAATCACTTCCCCTAACAATGTATATCATGAAGATTTATCCCATGAGGGACTGTGGGCAGATACATTGGAGGAAAAGGTGGAATAGGACTAGGGAAATAATTATAATATTACCTTCGTGTCTCTTCAGTATTTACTCGAGGCCAGCAGGATGACAGTAGCTTGAACATGATTCAGCTTAACTCTATAATATTAATATAAACAAGAAATTAATAAACAAGAAATAAATTAATAAACAAATAAACAAGAAATTAGCCCCATTATTAACACCGAACTTGTCAGCTATGACTACACACATGCTAATAAACAGAAAGCCTGGGACGGACAGAAGTCCATTACTTCATTCTAGCCACCCTTGTCTATAAATGTCATAGAGCAAGTGATGAGTAATCTTCAACTCTAGTGGCAGGTTCCTGCAAAATTGGGTGATTTCTTGTTAAAACAACCTACATAGGCATGATGGCATCAGATGTGGCCTGTCCCTTCAGGCATAGATCATTCCTGTTAGGAATATTTTCATTCAACCTTGAGTGGGGTAGGGTGGGGTGATGCCTTGGAGAACTAGCTTAGATTTCAAGAAAGACCTATTGGGAGACCTGTTCTAAGTAACAACTATCTACTGTGCTTGGTTCTCTTACTGTTTCTGCTTCAAAAATGTTGGTGTTGGTGATCCATTGTCATAGATTTCATACAATTCCTAGAGAGGTAAGGGATCTTAGAAATCATCTAGTTTAATAGATTTCAAACATCAGTCCAGGTGCCCCACTCTCAAAGATTCCCTGGGAACTGCATAAGCTCCCCAGATTTCAAAGTGCAGCCATATTTGAAAATGATTGCCTAATTAAAAAGGATAATTTAGAAAATCAAGGTTCATCCATGTTGTAGCATGTATTAGTATTTTGTTCCTTTTATGGCTGAATAATATTCCATTATATACCACTTTTTGTTTAGTCATTCATCAGTTTATGGACATTTGGCTCTTGTGAATAATGCTATACACATTTTTGTACAAATTTCTTTGTGGACATATGTTTTCAGTTCTCATGTATATATGTACTTAGGAGTGTAGTTGCTGGGTCATATAACTTGATGCCTAACCTTTTGAGGAAGTACCAGACTGTTTTCCCAAGTGGCTGCAATATTTCATATTCCCACTAGCAGGAGGGTTCCAATTTCTCCACATCCTTGCCAACATTTATTGTCTTTTGTTTGTAGCCATCCTAGTGGGTATGAAGTGGTATCTAACTGTGGTTTTGATTTAAATTTTCCTGATGACTAATATACTGGAGCCTAGAGCTGGGGGACGCTCTGGTTGGGTTAGCAAAGTATTTTGGCTGATACTCATATGGGCTTTGCTTAGCTCTCTGATGAGCACAGTGTATGTGCCAGCTTATCAATGGATAACAGCACGGTTCTCCAGAGTCATCCACTGTTTTGGTGAATTGTCATTCCCAAATAGGAAGTCACATTTCATAGCATTTCTTAGAGCACAGCTTGTTCCCTAGGAGATCATTTGGCTTCCAATAAGGACCTCCTAGAGAATGGCTTTGGTTTATGCTAGACAAAAGGGAAACCTTATATATGGTCTGTGAGCAAAACCAGCTTTGTACATGAAGCTGATAAGAGCTGGAGGCTGAAACACCAGAGCCTGATTGTCTGGGTTCCACAATAGCCATCTCCCTTTGAAATAAGCCAGTAGCAGCTTCATGCCTATTTTCTTATACTTGGCAGAGCTTTCTAGCTTGAGCTCAGACTCTCTATATTTATTAGTGCCACCAGGAAAGGTCAGACTGGCATCACACAAGTTCTTCTTTAAAAACGTATCATAAAAAAGGCTTAGTGGGATAACTAAAGAGGAAAATTATTGCACAAGAGCTTACTGGTCATTTCTTTCATTTCCAGTGCCTCTCCTAGGTATTCTGGGATGAAATAACCTAAATTCAACCTACTGTTCTCAGATTTCTTATCTGTAGACTGGAGATAATAATATATTTTGCTTACCTTGAGGTGGTTAAGTACTTATCAGATTAGAAGTTGGTTCTTTATGGATGAAAAACATAAGATATGTAGAGTGAGAGGAAGATATATTGAGATTTCTAATCTTCATGCCAGATTAACAGCTCAGTTGCCCATTTATGAGGATATAGCAATGACCTAACAATGGCTGTCAATGTTCTGACATATTTATGGCAACCCCTGCCTGGTTCATAGCAACCAAACTCACATCTTTCTACCTTGTATGATTACAGCTAATTACTAAATAAATTTTTAGTCATCATATATTTTTTTTAGTTTACAAAGTATTTATATAGAATTTACAGTGTGCCAGCACTCAGGCACTTTATATATATTAACTCATTTAATCCTTATTACAAAATGACAAAAAGTAGGGGCTATCATTTCTACTTTTAAGATATGAGGTTCACAGCAAACTTTTTTTTTAATGAGTAGAAAGAGTACAGTCTAAAATAGCAATAAAAAGTATTTTAGAGTAAATTTTTAAAAGAGAGAGAGAGAGAGGAGGTTCACAAAGAGGTCACATAACTTGTCCAAGCTTACCCGGCTAGTAAGTTATAAATCAGAATTGAAACCCAGGTGGTCTGGCCTCAGAGTCTGTATATTAGGTTAAGGGTCTTACAAGCTGTGTGACTGAGAAGACCTCGGTTATCAGAGAAACTTCCCCGCTTTGTGCCTTTCCATCTCTTCTAGCCAAACTATACCGTGCTTATTCTTTTTTCAGTAAACTTTAAATTTTTTTTCTTTATTGATTTTTAGAGAGAGGAAGGGAGAGGGAGAAAGAGATAGAAACATTGATGAGAGAGAACATCGATTGGCTGCCTCCTGCATGCCCCCCACTGGGGATCAGGCCTACAACTTGGGCATGTGCCCTAACTGGGAATCGAACTGGTGACCTCTTGCTGCATGGGTTGACGCTCAAACACTAAGCCACATTGAGCCACACTGGCCAGCTTCAGTGAACTTTTTTTTTTTTTTCAATTTGTATTAATTTATTTTTGTTACAGATGTTTCTCTCCCCCTCCTAGACACTTGTGAACTTTTTAAAAAGTTGACATACAATATGATATTAGTTTCAGGCGTACAACATCATGATTTGACATTCATATACCTTATGTTGTGATCACCACAATAAGTCTAGTAAGCATCTATCACTGTACAAAGTTATTTAGTGAACTTTTAAAAAAATAAACTTTTTTTAGAATGGTTTTAGATATACAGAAAAATTGCAAAGACAGAATAGAGAGTTCCCATATTCCCTGCACCCAGTTTCCCCTAGTGTGGTGCATTTGTTATAATTAATGAAACAATGTCAACACTTGATTATTTACTAAAGTTCATGATTTATTCACATTTTATTAGTTTTTATTTAACGTCCTTTTTCTTTTTCAAGATCCCATTTAGGATACCATAGTACATTTAGTTGTTAAATCTCCTTAGCCTACTCTTGGTTGTGACAGTGGTACAGACTTTGATTTTGATGACTTAGGAGTACTGGTCAGGTGTTTTGTAGACGCCCTTCACTTGGTGTCTGTCTAATATTTTTCTCAAGATTACATTGGAGTTATGTGTTCTCAGAAGGAAAACCACAGGGGTAAAGGCCCTTCTCATCACATCATATCACGAGTACATGCAATCAATATGACTTATTGTTGACGATGTTGACCTTGATCACCTGGCTGAGGTGGTACTTGTTAGGTCTCTCCACGGTAAAGTTACTTTATTCTCCCATGGTCATTCTGTGCTCTTTGGAGGGAAGTTACTATGTGTAACCTACCCTTAATAAATGGAGAGTTATACTCTACCTCTTTGAGGGTGGAGTATCTACATAAATTATTTGGGATTGTTCTATATGAGAGGTTTATCTAGTTTCATCCATTTGTTTATTAAATCATCTATTAATATGGTATGGACTAATGGGTATTTATTTTATACTCTGAGTTATAATCCAATAGTACTTTATTTACTTGCTAAATTTATTCTAGCTTTGGTATTGGGAGTTCTTTCTACTTCTGTGTTCCTTTGACATACATCCACTCTTTTTTTTTTTTTTTTTTGCATTTATCTTCAGATAGAGCGGGAGGGGGAGAGGGAGGAAGAGAGAGAAACATCCACGTGAGAGAGATACATGGAGTGGTTGCCACCCACACAACCACAACCGGGGCCGGGGACAAACTGCAACCGAGGTATGTGCCCTTAGCGGGAACCAAACCTGGGACTCGCCGGTCCACGGGCCGACGCTCTAACCGCTGAGCCAAACTGGTTTGGGCTTTTTTTTTTTTTTTTTTTTGACATACATCCACTCTTGTGGTATATTTTTTTTTTCTTTTGACTACTTCCTCTCTTGCTGGTACTGTAAGAGGCTTCATGCTCATCTTCTGTATTCCCTGCCCCAGTCTTAGAATCAGCCATATCTCCAAGGAGCCATGGATCCTTTCATTGGAGAATGGTCTTAGAAACCAAGATCTGGGTACTAGATATGTTCATTGCTACTGGAGTCTCATTGCTTCTAGGCCATCTTGGATGACACAGTAAAGAAATATATGCAGGTATACTAACTTGTGTATATACACATATCTATAAACATTTATGTGGTCATGTTTATCTACATTGTACTACACATGAGATCATACTGATGTTTTCAAATCTACCCCATCACAATGTGGATCATTCTAGCCTTTTCCCTTTGCTTGGCTATAACCTCCCACTCCAACAATGAAAAACCTGACTTCTACCATCCACAGAATATTTAATTTGAATGTTTAATTCCAGTACACAGCTATAGCAGTATCAGAATTGTTAACTTATATACCCCCATGGGAAGCCACTTGATCAGCTAGAATATAGTGCTATGTACACTTCCTTTTACCTTTAATTTACAGATTCCACTTATTTCCAAAGTTACTTGGGTGAACACACTTATACTATCTCCTTCAATAAAGTTGTTTCATACATTTGTAATACACATCCTGTGATAAGTTAATTTTATGTGTCAACTTGAGTGGACCACAGAATGCCCAGATATTTGGTCAAAATAATTCAGGATGTTTCTGTGAGGGTGATTTTGGATGATATTAACATTTAAATAGAATGAGTAAAGCAAAGTGTGCTTCTTAATATGTGGGTCTCATCCAATCAGTTGAAGGCTTAAATA